TTTTTTTTTTTTTTTTTATAGGCGCATGTTCCCTTTCCTAAGTTTTAATATTTCTGGTCTCGACCCCACGGCTCACTACAATATTTTTGTGGATGTAATTTTGGCGGATCCTAACCACTGGAGGTTTCAGGGAGGCAAATGGGTTCCTTGCGGCAAGGCAGACACCAATGTACAAGGCAAGTTTCTCTAATTAACACTTTTCTCGACACATATGTAGGTGAGAACGATTAATTAAAGCCTTTGTGAGCCGGCTCGTACGAGGAAAGGCCGGCGATGCTTTGAGAAAGGAGAGGGTGGAGGAGAAAGGGAAGGGCGATAGGGAGCGCGGTGCGAGCGGGGCCGCGGAGACCGGCGCTGCCTGCGCGGGGGCTCCGCGCTCTGCGGGCCCGGTGCGAACCGCGATGCTGCTCTGTCGTTCTGCCCAGGGAACCGCGTGTACATGCACCCCGACTCCCCCAACACGGGAGCGCACTGGATGCGCCAGGAGATCTCCTTTGGGAAGCTCAAACTTACCAACAATAAAGGAGCATCGAACAACAACGGGCAGGTCAGTGGGGGGAACGGCTCCGCTTATTTTTGTTGCCTCGGGAGAACCCCGCACTGCCCGATCGGACGTATATACGTATTTTAGTCATGATTTTACGTGACCGCGGCCGGCTGCCGGGGCAGAGGCACTCCGGGAGGGCGGCGGCGGGTCCTTCCCGGCCCCGTCCTTCCCGCTCTGATCTCCGCTTCTCCCCGCTCCCGTCCCTGTGCCCGACAGATGGTGGTCCTGCAGTCCCTGCACAAGTACCAGCCCCGCCTGCACGTGGTGGAGGTGAACGAAGACGGCACGGAGGACACCAACCAGCCGGGCAGGGTGCAGACCTTCACCTTCCCCGAGACGCAGTTCATTGCGGTCACCGCCTACCAGAACACCGATGTAAGGCGCTCCCCGCAGGGCGCGGCCGCTTCTCCCCCGCTCTGAGCCCTCCGCTTTGCCTTCCCCCGGGGCCGAGCGCGGCGTTTCCCCGTGCTCCGCTCGGAGCGGCCCCACGGGGACCGTTAGCACGGCCGAGCTGAGCGTTCCGCGGCGTCGTTCTCGGTCTCAGTGCCCGCCGCACCCTGCCCTGACCGCGCGGCCCCGGGCTCCGTGTGTTCAACGCGGCGAGAGATCGCGTCTCTGCCCGCGCCTGGGTGTATTGCGGGACGCAGATCGAGTAACGATATTTCTGAAAACACGGGGTTAAATGGGATATTAATCGTAATTTTTAGAATAAAATAAATCTTAGCGTTCCCTTTGCGATGTCTGTGGGCACGCCGCCGCGTTATCTCCGCGCCTTAGCGGCGATCCGGCCGCCGGAGAGCGGCTCGGTCCCGTCTGAACGCCGCAGGCGGCAGCGGGGAGGACGTTCCCTCTCTTACGCCGCGCTTTGCTCCCCTTCCCCAGATCACGCAGCTGAAAATCGACCACAACCCCTTCGCCAAAGGCTTCCGGGACAACTACGACACGTAAGTGGCCGCGCCGCGCCTCAGAGCGGCCTTCGGGGCAGCGGGCGGGGGCGGCCCGCGACTCCCGGTGCGCGCAGCGGGGAGGGCGCGGTTGCGGCCGCCGTGTTCGTTTCGTGCAGCTGAGCGCCAGGCGCGTCCGCCCGGCTTGATACTCGTGGGGCTCCGCCGTCTCCGCTGCCCCTGGGAGAGTCCCCTCGCCCCGCGCTGCCCTGGGATCACCGCGTGTGGCTTTCCGAGAGGGCCTTCGTCCTTTTTGGAGGGAAAAACTTGACGGGGAGTTGCTGCGAAGGAAACGGGGGGATGGGGAAGCTTGATGTTGTCTCGCACGTTGGATTTGTTTAAGGGCCAAGTTTATTTTGGATAAGAAATTCCAGGAGGCGTGGAGGGTTAATTAAAGCACAGTTTTAGCCTGAATTAAATACAGATAGTAGTTATTCATCCATTAAAGTTTTTATAATCGCAAATTGCAGCCCAGCATGGGAGAATTATATATAGGCCACGCAGGGATGCGTCTGGTTCCTCTTTTCCTACAGTAGGTGTTTAAAGATTAGCTTAATTTAAAATCTGTAAAACGTTGACGATTCGTCTGTGATTCTCAATAATAAGTGTTAAGCAGCCGCCACAATCCCGTAGACTGCTCTCCGCAGTGGCCGGACCGGGCCGACTGTTGCGCTCGTAGCGGGAGCGGCGGCTGTGCGGCACAGACGCTCTCGGGGCTCGGAGACGGAACCCAGCGCTCGGGGATCCCCGTTCAGAGTGGGGCTGAGGGCGTGGGGCCGCGAGTCGGCCGTCCGTGCCCAGGCCGTGGCGGCTGGCACCCAGCTCTGTCCCCTTCGCTCCCGCAGGATCTACACGGGCTGCGACATGGACCGGCTGACGCCTTCCCCCAACGACTCGCCCCGCTCTCAGATCGTGCCCGGGGCCCGCTACGCCATGGCCGGCTCCTTCCTCCAGGACCAGTTCGTGAGTAACTACGCCAAGTCCCGCTTCCACCCCGGGGCAGGAGCCGGCCCGGGACCCGGCGCCGACCGCAGCGTGCCCCACACCAACGGGCTGCTCTCCCCACAGCAAGCCGAGGACCCGGGGGCCCCCTCGCCGCAGCGCTGGTTCGTCGCCCCCGCCAACAACCGCCTCGACTTCGCCGCCTCCGCCTACGACACGGCCACCGACTTCGCCGGCAACGCGGCCACGCTGCTCTCCTACGCGGCGGCCGGCGTCAAGGCGCTGCCTCTGCAGGCGGCCGGTTGCGCGGGGCGGCCGCTTGGCTACTACGCCGACCCGTCGGGCTGGGGGGCCCGCAGCCCCCCGCAGTACTGCAGCAAGTCGGGCTCCGTGCTCTCCTGCTGGCCCAACAGCGCGGCGGCAGCGCGCATGGCGGCCGGCAACCCCTACCTGGGGGAGGAGGCGGAGAGCCTGGCTCCCGAGCGCTCCCCTCTGCCGGGCGCCGAGGACTCCAAGCCCAAAGATTTGTCCGACTCTAGCTGGATCGAGACTCCGTCGTCCATTAAGTCCATCGATTCCACCGATTCTGGGATTTACGAGCAGGCCAAAAGGAGGCGGATCTCCCCCTCGGACACCCCGGTGTCCGAGAGCTCCTCGCCCCTCAAGAGCGAGGTTCTCACCCAGCGGGACTGCGATAAGACCTGCGCCAAGGACATCGGCTACTACGGCTTCTATTCGCACAGCTAGGCGCGGCCCGGCCCGGCCCCGCCGCCGTTTTGCACAAGAACCTCTCCGCGGTTAGCGCACTGACCCCCTCCCCATCCGCCCCGGCCCGGCAGGGAGAGAGGCAGAGCCGCCGCCGCCCCCCTCCCCGCCCGCCCCCGCGAGGCCCCGGGCGGCCCCGCCGCACCCCACTGGCAGTAGGATGCTCAGCCTCCAACCGTGCAGCGCTTCCTTCCTCTCACCACGGATGGATACCGGGGGACGATAGTGCTAGTGGGGAATAAGAGCCTGTGAAATGCCTGTACATAGTACTTAATTTATTACTTTTCTTTAGTTTTGTTTCCTATTCGTTGCGGTTTTAATTTTGTTTTCACTGTTAAGTCGTAACACTTAGATCCTGTTTAAATCTCCCTCTTCTGCCCCCGCGCCCTTCCCCGGCCCTCCCTCAGGTGACCACGAGCGGAGTTCTGTCCGCCTTTCTCCACAGCTCCTCGCATGATCGAACCCCGCCCTGCCCCGGGCCGCCAAGGCTGGGGCGCAACCGAGCTTCCCTCCGGCAGAACAGAAATACTTCTCGTAGGAAAGTCGATTAAAGTAGCATGACGCCTTCCCAAAGCAAAATTAACTGCCACTGTATCTTTCTTTAAAAGGAATAGCTCGACAGCAGCAATACCATTATTTTCGTGATATTCCTCCTCCCCTTGCCCCCGAGTGCCAAATCCATTACCGGTCCCTGCAGGTGCCAAAAATACTGACAAACTCTTCTCAAATTTCTTTGCAGTTTTCCCCTCTTTCTTTATATCGCTGTAAATCTTTGTAATGAATAATCTTGGGAAAAAAAAAAAAGACAAAAAAAAAAAAAAAAAAAAAAAAAAAAGCTATAGACGACTGAATTGTTGGTAACCATAGTGTAGTCCAGTGGAGATGAATCGTGAGTTGTATATTTTACTGCATTTAGTTTTGGAATTGACTTTTTCATCAAGTAGCTGACCGAGCTTTGCCTGTCCGCCTTGCGGACGCACCGAGAGGGCCGAACGCCCCGCCGCGCAGCCCCGGCTGTGCCATGGCAGAGCGGTGCCGTCCCGCGGCTCCTCCCGGCGAAGCACAACAGTAAAGACTTCGGATTTCGAGTAGCAAATCCATAAAATTAACGCGTTTTTATATGAGAAACAATTACAAACCGAAATATGCATCGGGCTAAGTATTCGGTCTAGGTTACACTCGGCGGGGAAGTTTCCTAATAGAAATTCAGGGTCATAAACGTGTGTATATTTTTGACTCTTCTGTAAATCGAATGTTGTGATTTTTATATTCGTTCTGTTATGTCCGTGGAACTGAATACTTTATACCAGTACATGCTCCATTGAGAAATGTTTCGGTTTTTGCCCGTTTGTATCGTCTGTGTATGGCAAGTAAAATAAACCTGGCAAAACGCTCACGTCTGTGGGGCAGCGCTGCGCCGTCCGCGAGAGCAGCCGGCGGGGCCGCCCGGGGCCGGGAGCGAGAGCTGTGCGCGCGGACGGGAGGAGCGCCGTCGGGTCGTGAGGCGGAGGGATCTCCCGTGAAAACCCCGACGGCGCTTTGTTGCGCGCCACGGGCGCCCAGCGGCTCTCCCCTGTCGTCCGTCGGTCCGAGCGTGCTGCTGACACCCGGCCACAGGCCCGAGGGCGCGCGCTTTCTTTTCTCGCGCTTCCGAGGCTCGTGGCGCTGCCCCTTCGCTGCCGCGCGCTCACGCAACTCCAGGCGGGGCTCGAGCCGGGGCTCGAGCCGCCCTCGCGCTGCGGGAGAGAGGTCGCGCGAGGGCAGCGCGTGCCCCGTCGGGGCGTTGGGGCACCGCCCGCGGGGACGCTCGGCGCCCGGGCCGTGACGCGGTACCGAACCGCTCGGAGAGATGCGGCCCCGCGCCGAACTGCGTTCAGCCCGCGCCCGCCGCCCCGGCCGCCCCGGCCCGCCGACGGGCTGTGCGACGTTAACGACACCGACGCCGGCAGCCCGCGCTGTCCCCCGCCCCGTGGGGTGCGAAGGCTCGGCCCTGCCACGCGCCGTGCTTCCACGCGCGGCCCCGCTGAGGTGAGCCCGCGGCCGCCGAGTGCGGGCGTTGCTGCGGGGAAGCGGACACGGCTCCTGTTGGGTCCGGGATGGGCACGCAACGTGAGACAGATCTGAGCCAAATCCCCTCCCGTGCCTCAGAGATAACGGTGTTCCGTAACTATTCCAACAGGAGGTTAGAAACCCGTAACTACTCCTGCGAGAGGCTGGAAGAGAGAAAGGCTGCAGAAGGGCTATTTCCTATCGGTAGGTCAACCTGCTACTATTACACTATTATTACATTATTATTACTGCTGTAGGTGCGGGTGCATATCTGTCACACCCATGTTTGCTGACACCTGAAGGTGCCTGCGAGCCCCCGAGCGCAGCACGCGGCTCTGACCCGGCGTGCTCCGTGCGGCTGAAGCAAACCCTGCGTCTGATTTGTCGGAGCGGCAGCTAACCGCGTGCGTTTCATTTGAAGTGTAATCTTCTGTCCACGTCGAGCCGGCTTTTATATTAATTATTCTGGAAAATAACCTGGTCAATTGCCCTTCCTTTGCTTTTTTAAGCTAACAGAAGTCGAGCTCCAAACAAGGTGGTCCTCAGAAAGTAACCCGAAGTTTTTTTGCTAATACTTTCTGCGATGCTTCACATTAACGCTGTACGGAATGCAATACAGCCATATATGCTCTGCAGATTTTGCACGGGTACGTTATGCATATTTGATGACACATTGCATATTTTAACAAGGTTTTTAATGACTGATTGAAATGTTTGCTAAGATATTTTTTAAGAGCTGGAGGAGAAATGGTTGTGGAAAATGTGTGTAATAGAATAGTGATAAGGATGGGAGGGCTTTGATTGACAGCATGAGGAAGCAGATGGATGACTAGGTAGGTCAGAGGTAAAGATGTCTTTGACAGCTTTTTAAGTTCCTTTGGCCATTTTGGTCCAATGAATCATGCAAAACATGTGTACATTACTAAACTGATGTCTCTGCATCGTTTACTGTTGGAATCCTCATCTTTTCAAACCCACCCTAACCTTCTTTCATCACCACTTGACGTGCTATGTCTAAACTAGATTGCAAGATCCTAAGAAGGCAAGAATCTGTCTTGTATTACTTGTCAGCAAAAGAAAAAAAAAAAAAAAGGAAAAAAAACCTCATGTAAACCTATGGAGCTAGAAGAACAACCGTGACAGATTGGCAGAATAGGCGTAAGGTGGGACACGTTCTTCTTAATTTTCGCTGTCTGGTCATCACTTCCCTCCCTTAGGTAGTGCTTGAGGGAGCTGTGGTGAACAATGATTTTTTTTTCCCCCCAGCTGGCATAAATCTGGATCTTTATAAGACTGATAAGAATCCTAATTGCAAAATTTTCCTTTTAATGTTATGTAGTGAGTTCTGTTGCGATAGCTTTCCTTGCTGTCTCTGCTTTCAGGTGCTTTGTACGCCCCTCACAAATTACTTTATCAACTGGAAATGCTCTGGTTTGTCCCTGTGAAAGGTTACTGATTTTGGAAATCTTATTTGAATTGCATAGGAGAATTTTAAATTCACTGAGATACAAAAATAGAATGTCTGTGTACTGGGAAAAGCAGAAAAAAAAGGATTTTGCATGAAAGTATGCTTTCCAGGTACTGTTTCTGAGCAAAATGGATCCAAGTCTTCATTTTAAGTATTAAAACTTGCCATGGATGTGGTCTCTGGTGGGGAAGGTGTGACTGGCTAGGAGTGGGGGGCAAAGTTAAAGAAAAAAATGGAAATAGCAGAGTGATAAGTAGATGGAAGGCAGCAGACTGTTTGCGTTCAGTGCCCCATCTTCTCAGCTAGATAGATGTAATATGTTTGTAGTAGTCCAGAGAGCCACTCAGCTCAATGATAACATTTTGCGCATTTATCAGAACGCATATTAATTTGGGAATGCACAAATAAAAGCACTGCGTCACCCAAAAGCTTTCCATTTGTTCAGATTTGTGCATCTGAAATATGTGTGCATCTTTGAAATGTGTATATATACATGTATGTTTTGAAGCACAGGCAATATTTTCCTTCTTATAGAGCTAGGATAATCATTAATTCTCAAAGATCCAACGCAGCCGTTCCTGATTAGGTACAACTTTTGGCCTGTTAAAAAAAATGACCCAATAAAATTGGTGATGTTTTATTCATGCTATCAGTGCAGTTCCCCAGGGTTGCTGTGCTTCTAACACGAAGGGGCTGATATGAGTATGAATGGTCTTAACATGACTTATTTTAGATCAATTAATTTTTTTTTCCCAAAATTTGAGACGGAATGGGTGAAAACGTCAGGTGCATTCCTTCTGTGTAGAAGTGTCTACACTATTAGATCGTATTAACGAGCATTTATTTCTTAAGCTTTAAATAAGAAACAGCTGGTTATGACTTTGAATCTGTTTTAAGAGACATTTTAGGTAAAATGTTGATAGCTTGTAAATGTGTATTCCTGCCTTAGTCTCTGATCGTGCATGCAAGTTCATATGTGTGAATAATGTAAAGTAAGAGGTCAGTCCTACAAAGACTATTCTCTTGTCTAAAAATTCACAGACATAAATGTTTTCAGGATCAAGGCCTTTTTCTATAATTGTGATATTCATGTACCTTGAAGTGACTGACTCATTTAGAATACACTTAATAATTTGATTTTTTTTAATATAGTAGAAACACCGCATTGATGAGTTATCCGAGCACATCAGACAGGCTCCCACTTCAATCATCTGTAATACATTTTCTGGCTTATTTGGGTCTATATACATATATACATATACGTACGTATACAAATTTTAATTTTCTAGTCCTGGCACTGACACTGCATTTAAACTTATTTTTAAAAGTCACATCTTAATTTCCACGGGGCATGCTACAGAACTGATTTCTGTAAGCAGGCTTTTTCCTCATTGTACATTTAGTTACGCATTGACCACTTCTGTTTATCCAAAAGCTGACAGCATTGGTCTGGGACTGAAGGGGA